ATTGCGCTGTTACCAATGCCTCTACGAGTATGGGGTAAGATGACTAAAGCTACACTTACAGATTGGTGCGATCGCCGAGCAGGTTTCTGGGATGCAGCAGTACGTAACAGCTCGGCCCTACAATCAGTTTTACTCACATTGGTACTAGATGAATGCCGAGCAAACTTATATGAAGCTAGCCAAGCCTCTTTATTCCAAGACTTGGAGAAGTTGTATGATTTGGTGGATTTGGGAATATTAGCCATGCGACCCATAGATTTGAAATTTCCGGCGGTGGAATTTTATATGTGTACCATGTGCTACCTTAGCCCGAGACTAGTCAAAGTCAACAAGATCTACAGCGACCTCATTGTACCAGACAACGGTATTGTTCCTGGGTGTGGTAAGGCTAACCACTGTGCGAGATCCCTACTCTACCATGTGTTAGATAAAGTACATAGAGACGTGAAGATCGTGCGTATCCGACAACTTGTGGATGACATTTCTGCTCGAGTAGAAGGTCCTCCTGAGATAGTGGGCCCTGCAATTGCTACAGCAGCTACTACGCTAGTAAAGGGGTGCCTGGATGCCCGATTACGGATTTCGGATAAGTCGACGATCATGGCGACCAACTGCGACGACGCGACGAAGGTTGAGGAGGCGTTGCTGGAGATAGGGGTCACATCAAAACGAAGTATAACCATGAAGGACCTGGGGACCGACAACACCATGGGGGAAAAGCGGGCCAGAACCACAGCAGGTAAACGTGAGCGGTTTGGACGCGCGAGGGCCTCACGGGCTCCTGTTTTTTGGATTGTTGGGCAAAGCCCGCAGGAAGAACAGGATCCAGCTGTACAATAGTAATATAAGTGCTAAAATGTCTTATGCTAGCCCCCTTTTTGGCCTCCCCCCCACGGAGATCCGACGGCGCAGAGCTCTGGCTGCGGACCTGGCTGGCTTAGGAAAGAAAGGACGTTGCACGTCCATGGCCATGCTGCTGCTGCATGGGGATCGGGAGCCCTGGGCCACGAGCGCCAAGCGACAGGCCAAGAAGTGGCTTGCTTTCTGGGCCCAACATCCCGACCTCAGGCAGCACGTGCGCAGGGGGTGGACGGCCACTAAGTTGAGGCTTGCACGCTTGAAGGTTCGGGCCCGCTGGAGGGCTTGCACAGGACCGACGGGGGCAATGAGATTAACCCTCGGGGCCCTGGGATGGGTAGGGATTGAACCCGATCGCTGGGAGGACCCCGATGGTGATGAGTGGCGGTTCAACCCCGACTTGTCAGGAGATATGACTGATTTAAGTGAAGCTCTAGTTGATTATGTTAAGCGTCTTCTCTGGGAGCAAGCCTCGAAACACTCTGAGGGGTCTGCTTTGAATCCAGAAGGGGGCGATTTAACCATGCTCCGCAAAAGTTTGTCCAGGATGCTCAAGAAAGATATGCATCAGGAGGCTGGCGCCTTGGAGGGGCTTGTTTGTGGCACGCTGTGGAACGGGGATCGCCAGCGCCGTGCTGGGTATAGCACAGAAGGCGTGTGTGAACGCTGCGGCCTCCGCTCCCCCGACACGGTGCGCCATAGAGTTTATGAATGCCCCCATGTGCGTCAGCAAGAGAGCACCCCTGGATCCAGCGTGCGAATTATATGTGCCAGCGCGCTCTGACGGACCTCGACCATGGAACCAACGAGTCCTTGTGGCTCAAGGGTATAGTGCCTGGGTCGTGGAACTGTGTTCCCCCTCCCCCTGTCTGGGGGATCAGAGTGCCTGGCGAATTCGCGCTGTCGATGCCCCGGCCCCCGAGATTGGCTAAGCCGGAGAAGCCCCCCCCCCCTGGACCAGGCCCCGTGGCCAGAAGGCCTTCTTGGATGGATCGGGCACGAGCAGGACGGCGCGCGTGGGCTGGGGAGCGCATATCCAGCAAGCCCCCCCCCCCCCCCGTCTATGCCTCAGGGCTCCTCGGAACCCGACCCTGCCCCTGGGTGGCATGGTGGCGCCGACGGCAGACAGAGTGTTCCAGCTGCTGAGTCGGCGTTGCGGTGGTGCCTGCAGCTCACACAGGGAGGGCTGATCGTATATACTGATTGCCAAATTGTTGTTTGACGGGTGGTACGGGGGCCAATTGGAGCGGCCTTCAGGGGCCCAGAAGCTCTGGTGGGAGAGAATCGCCCAGGCTGCCCAGGACCGCCCAGGACCCATCAGGCTCCGTAAATGTTGTTCTCATTTAGATGCTGTGTCTCACGATCGTATTGGCCAAAGGGTTGAGGTTTCGCGTGGCAATGAGATTGCTGATGGTTTTGCCCAGCTTGAAGTTGCCCAGGAAGCCCATGCGTGGATTGCGGGCCAGGTCCGTCACCTTGCCCAAGGGGATGCGACTGCGACGCTGGTGCGCCAGCGATTGGCCGACGTCTGTGCCGAGCTGGCTGCCGAAGCAGCCGACCAGGACCGCCCCGCGCGCGAGGCGCCCGAGGGAGGAGGGGAGGCTGCTCGGAGGGCCGTGGCTTTGGAGTCGAGCTCGGGCCATAAGATGTAGAGAGTGGCGATGTGCGGTTGGGTTTGCTCGGTCTGTAGGTTGGGCCCTGGCAGATCCTCGCTGGTGGACTGGCTCGAGAAATCCCGCTGCCAGGGAGACACCACGCTTCGCGCTCAGAGTGATGCTGGAACCCCCGTCTTCGTGCCGCCCCGAGCCGTGAGTGACGTCCAGACTGTGACCAAGAGCGTCCATCCGACACACACGGTGGCCATGAGGCACGGTCTCGTCTGGTGCTGGAAGTGCGCTCACTATGGGAGTGTGGTCCTATGTGGGGGGGGGGGCTCCTTCTGCTTGCAAAGCCTTGTGATGAGAAGATCAATGGATCTGGAAGGCAGTATCTTCGGACTTTGCGGAACGGCAAGCCCCCCAAGCCAGAGAAGCCCTGGCCCATCCCCCCCCCGCGCTGAGACCTTGGGGGTCCAGGGGGACTTGACCGTCAAGAATTCGTTTCTGACAAAGACCCGTAAGTAAGTTTACTGAGGGCCATCCTTCATGAAGGATGCGTTTGCCCAGCTGTGCCATCGGTGCTGACCTGGGGACCTGCTGTAATCTCCTGGTAATATCCTCCTCCTCCTCCTCAGTATGCTTTCCTCCCCCGACAGTCGGCACCTCGGGGGCCGACCCTGGAGGGTCGGCCCTCGAATTCTCGGCGTCTTGGGCGACCTGGGCGGGGCGCTGCTTGCAGTGGAGGCGCACGCCAAGAGACACCCTGCTCGCCTCCCGGGTGCCCCGGGTTTCCTGGGTCTCGATGGTTGTTTGCCATGGAGAGCGTGACGTTCCCAAGCCAAAGAGCAAAGGACGTCCTGGGGTCTCAGGGTTGGGTTTCTGGTGGAAGGTCTCTTGTGGCCGAGCCCCTGCTGTAATGGGGGCGATGCAGTGAACACTGATAGGATAGTAAGGACGATCGACTGCCCAAGGGTACCATAGCATCCTTGCCTCTTCGATCATATTCGCCGCGCGCTTCGCTTCTGAAGCCGCCATGCGGAAGTGCGTTGGCGACGAACGCAGCTGGCGCCATTTCGCTGCGAATTTCGCAATCGATGCTCAAGTTTAACTCATTACTGCCAGCAGCAAGCAGAACCGGCTGTCAGATTCCGCCTACGCGCAGGAGGGCGTTTGGCTCCTCTGTCTGTCTCAACCACCTTCGATGGCCAGCCCTGCTCGAAAAGCTTCGGCGTGGGCGTCCAAGGCTCTTGCATCCTCATCGTGCATCCTTGCTTCGGCGCCGAGCGAGGGGGGGAAGCGAGAAGGGGCGGGCCTCCTCGGGAGCCTCGGAAGCCCCCCAGCCTTCTGAGAAGTCTTCGAAGCCTTCCACGAGGGCACAGAAGGTTTCTCAGAGGGCCTGGAGACCCTCTGAGAAGCCCCGCCGCCTTCTGAGAAGGCCTTCTCCTTCTCACGTCCCCCCCTCGCTCGCCGCCGCCGGCTAGCAGCTTTGACCGCAAACGGAGGGGGGTCCAGATCCTCGTCGGCCTCTGCTTTCTGCTTGGTGGCGCTCGGGGGTCAGGAGGGGAAGAAACACAGACACAAGTAATCGTCGATCCCCCGGAAAATGTGGGGAAAGATTGGAGGTTGGGGAAGACAGAAACCCTGAATAGATGTGTGTATATACATATATATATATATATATATATATATATATATAAATATGTAAATATCAGGAATCGTGGGATTTGTTTGTATACGTTTGTTTGTGTGCTTGTGGGCCCCTTCACAGATCCTCGGCGGCCTCCGCTCTCTGCTTGGTGGCCCTCGGGTGGCCCCGCCGCCGCCACCGGCGGCAAAAAAGCGCGACTCGGGGAACGGCGGACCGGGGTGGGCCCCTGGAGGGGTCCGGGGCCGGAGCTCTCTGGGCAGGACGACGACGACGACGACGACGACGACGACGACGACGACGACGACGACGACGGCGACGACGACGACGACGACGACGGCGGCGGCGGCGGCGGCGGCGACGACGACGACGACGACGACGACGACGGCGACGACGACGGCGGCGGCGAAGCTGACGTCGACAAAGACAACGGCGAGGACCGCGAGGAGGACGGCGTCGTCGTCGCTTTCCGACGGGGATCCGCTCAAAATCGGTCTCTGTACCAGTCCCGGGGTTCATCCTGGTTTGTTCTTCGAGTCGCCTCTGGCCGTTGGGCGGGAACCTCTAGGAATGCTCAAAGACGACCCAGACGTCAACGTCTCCGTCGTCGTCGCCCGCCGCCGAAGGAGGCCTCACGAGGCCCACCTGGAGGCCCCAGAAGGCTTCGGACTCCTCCGGGGGCCCCACAAACGTCCGAGACGACGACGACGTCGTCGCCATCGTCGATGTCGTCAACGTCTTCGTCGTCACTGCCGCCCCTCAGTCGTCCCCACACGGCCCTGTCCTCGTCGTCGACGTCGTCGTTGTCGCCACCACGTCGTCTCTTTCGCCGCCGACGCCGTCTTCGTCGTCGACGTCACCATCGCCGACGTCGCCGCCAACACCTGGCGTTCCGCCAGGACTCGGGACGCTCCTGGGCCTCGGTCCCGCTGGCCCCTCCGAGCGCGGCGGCTGCAAGCCGCCTCGGTAGGACGCCGCCCCCCCCCGCTCTTTCACTGCCGCTTGCCGCCGCTGCTCCGCCCGACAGCGGCGGCGGCGGCGATGAGCCGGGCGGCGACGGCGACGACGACGCCAGCGACAGCTGCAGCGACGGCGGCGTCGGCGACGCCGTCGCGGAGGTCGGCGGCGACGAAGCCGAAGGCGACTGCGACCACGACCACGACCAAGACCATGCCCATGGCGGCGAGAGCGACGACCTCGTCGTCTTTCTGCTCGTTCTCAGTCCTTCCAGACAGTTCTCACTGCCACGGCAGGACGCAGCTCGAGAAACTTGCCAGGATGGACCCCAGGTGCTTGGAGGGATCATGCGTTCAGGAGGTGTTCAGGGGTTCATTCCGAGCGAGAAACGTAAGCACCCTTGTTTGGACTGGGCGCCGGCGGTAAACCGTCAACCCTGCCGGGGGAACTCGAGTACACACGCCCTTGGGCTCCCCTTAAGCCAAAATGTTGTAGCTGCCTAGATCCCGAAATTTAGCAAGAACACCACTCGAAGAGCAGTTGCAGAATGAGATTGTCTTTCCCAGCATAGGTCGAGTATCAGACCGAGCCCAGGTCTCTCGAGACTGCAGAGCGAAATTCTTTCTCGTGCGTGCATCTGCCACGTGCGAGGGATCTGTTGCGGTTCCGAGTGTAGCTTACGTGCGAGAGCGAGCCTAGGTCTCTCGAGACTGATGAGCCAATCCAAGGTGTCAAGCCTGCGTTTTCCATGAGCAAGAGCTCCGCAGCTGCCGTGGATCGCGAAATCTAGCAAAATTAGCCCGACGAAGGACCCAACCATATGCAGCTGCGAGTATCGCAGGATCTCCCCCTCTCATCATAAGTAGCGCGCCGCGAGAACGATGCAGCACGGGGCAACACGGATGGGATCCCCGCAACGTGCGTGGGGTGTGCCGAAATGAGCGGGGGACGCATGCGGGCGGTGGCAATGGGACCTTCGTTCAGTGCTCCCTATGGGGCCACGATCCTCGTGAGGGGTGTGCCGAAATCGCCCGAGGCCGCCATGTGGGCCCTGCCACTGGGGCCTTCGGTGAAGCTCCCTGAGGGGCCACGATCCTGGCGAGGCGTGTGCCGAGCTCGCCCGAGGCCGCCACGCGTACCCTGCCATTGAGGCCTTCGTTGGAGGGCCACGATCTTCGTGAGGCTTGTGCCGAAATCGCCCGGGGCCGCCGTCCGAAGCTTGCCACTGGGGCCTTCGGTGGAGCTCCCTATGGGGCCACGATCCTCGTGAGGGGTGTGCCGGAATCGCCCGAGGCCGCCATGCGAACCCCACTGGGGCCTTCGATGGGGCTCAGATTCCCTGTTTGGTGTCCCCAGGCGGAGATAATGGCGGGGGACCATCTCACGCGCCTGGGGACCCACAAGGTGTCGGCGTATTTCTTGTCGCGCGGAGCCCATCCATGGAGTCTGGATCTGGCTCTCGCATGGGGGGGGCCAGTGAGTTGGGATACGGCTCTTGCCGGGGAGCCAGGAGTTAGGATGAGGTTTTCGCGCGGAGCCCTTGGGTTTGGGATCCGGTTTTCGCAGGGTGTCGGAGAGGTTGGATCAGGTTGTCGGAGGGGAGCCCAGGGAGGGTCCTCGGGCGGAGCCCACGCAATTCAGATTGGGGCTTTCGCGCGGAGCTCCTGGAGGTTGGATCTGTCTCCATGTCCTGCGTAAGGGGCCCCAGGAGTTAGGACATGGTTTTCGCACGGAGCCCGAGGAATACCCTGCAGGAATCATCCCAACCCTTGGGACCCCCTATGAAAACCGTGTCCTGACTCACTGCCCCCCCTACGATAACCACCTCCAAACTCCATGGGCTCCGCGCGAGAGACTAATCCGAATTCCTTGGGCTCCGCCCGAAGACCTTCTCCTAATCCTGGGGGGACCCTACGGAAAGCTTATCCTGACTCACTGCCCCCCCTACGAAAACCATATCCAAACTCAAGGGGCTATGCGCGTAAACCTTATCCGAATTCATTGAGCCTCGCGCGAAAACCTTGTCCGAACTCTTCCCCCCCACGAAAACGTGGTCCTAATTCACTGGCCCCTTTCACGAGAACCACAGTCAAACTCCACGGATTCCGCGCGAAAGCCTAGTCCGAATTCTGTGGGCTTCTCGCGAAGACCTTATCCTAAGTCCAGGCCCCCCCCCCTACAATATCCTGGTCCTGATCCATTGGTTCCCCTTACGAAAACCATATCCAAACTCAAGGGGCTCCACGCGAAAACCTCATCCTAACTCTCGGGCCCCCTTACGAACACCTTGTCCTAACTGACTGGCCCCTCCACGGGAACCGCATCCACACTCCACGGGCTCCGCGCGAAAACCTGGTCCGATTTCCTTGAGGTTGTTGCGAAAATGTGATCCTAGCCCCTGGGTCCCCCTACGAAGACCTTGTCCTCACCCCCGGGCCCCCC